GATCAGGCATAAGAAGATCGTATACCTTTTTCATCATTTGTCGAAAAAATAACCATCATGTAAATACAACAAATTTTTATCAAGATGAGGGACAGGCAAATATATTGGACTTTCATGCCTTATATTTTTTCGCTACGAATACAAGATGCATTTAATACTATTGTCTCAATTTTTCGGCATTAGGATCAAGAATAGGCATAAGAAGATCGTATACCTCTTTCAGCATTTTTCGAAACAAATAGTCATCATGTAAACACAACATATTTTTACCGAGATGAGGGACAAAGAAAAATATATAGGACTATCATGCCCTATATTTTTTCACGATGAATACAACATGCATCTAATAATAATCGTCTCAATTTTTTGACATCAGGATCCGGCAAAAGAAATTCGTATACTTCTTTCATCATTTGTCGAAAAAATAATCATCATGTAATGCCCTATATTTTTCACGATGAATACAACATGCATCTAATAATAATTGTCTCAATTTTTCGACATCAAAACCAGGCATAAGAAGACCGTATACCTCTTTTATCATTTGTCAAAAAAAATAATCATCATTTAAATACAACCAAGTTTTACCGAGATTAGAGACAAAGGCAATATGTAGGACTTTTATGACCTATATTTTTTCACGATGAATACAACATGCATCTAATAATAATCGTCTCAATTTTTCCACATCAGGAGGAGACATAAGAAGATCGTATACCTCTTTCATCAGTTGTAGAAAAAAATAATCATCATGTAAACACAACTAATTTTTACCGAGATGAGGGACAAAGGCAAGATATATGACTTTCATGCTCTATATTTTTTCACGATGAATACAACATGCATCTAATAATAACCGTCTCAATTTTTTCACATCAAGATGAGGCATAAGAAGATCGTATACCTCTTTCATCAGTTGCCGAAAAAAATAATCATCATGTAAACACAACCAATTTTTACCGAGATAAGGGACAAAGGCAAGATATAGGACTTTCATGCTCTATATTTTTTCATGATGAATACAACATGCATCTAATAATAACCGTCTCATTTTTTCGACATCAGGATCAGACATAAGAAGATCGTATACCCCTTTCATCATTTGTCAAAAAAATAATCATCATATAAACACAACTAATTTTTATCGAGATGAGGGACATGCAAATATATAGGACTTTAATGCCTTATGTTTTTTCACGATAAATACAACATTTATCTAATAATAATCGTCTCAATTTTTCGACATCAAGATGAGGCATAAGAAGATCGTATACCACATTCATCATTTGTCGAAAAAAATAATCATCATGTAAATACAACCAAGTTTTACCGAGACGATAAAAAAAGGCAATATATAGGACTTTTATGACTTATATTTTTTTACGATGAATACAACATGCATCTAATACTAACCATCTCAATTTTTCAACATCTGGATAAGGTATAAGAAGATCGTATACCTATTTCATCATTTGTCGAAAAAAATAATCATCATGTAAACACAACTAATTTTTACCGAGATGAGGGACAAAGGCAATATATATGACTTTCAAGCCCTATATTTTTTCACGATGAATAAAACATGCATCTAACAATAACCCTCTCAATTTTTCGACATCAGGATCAGGCATAAGAAGATCGTATACATCTTTCATCATTCATCGAAAAAATAATCATGTAAATACAACCAATTTTTATCGAGCTGAGGGACAGACAAATATATAGGACTTTCATGCCCTATGTTTTTTCATGATGAATACAATATGCATCTAATAATAACCGTCTTAATTTTTCGACAACAAGATAAGACATAAAAAGATCTTACACCTCTCTCATCATTTGTCGAAAAAAATAATCTTGTAAATACAACCAAGTTTTACCGAGATGAGGGACAAAGGCAATATATAGGACTATTGTGACCTATATTTTTTCACGATGAAGATAACATGCATCTAATAATAATCATCTCAATTTTTCGACATCAAGATGAGGTCTAAGAAAATCCTACACTTCTTTCATCATTTGTCGAAAACAATAATCATCATGTAAATACAACCAAGTTTTACCGAGATGAGGGACAAAGGCATTATATAAGACTTTTATGACCTATATTTTTTCACGATGAATACAACATGCATCTAATAATAACCGTCTCTATTTTTCGACAAGAGGATTAGGCATAACAAGATCGTATACCTCTTTCATCATTTGTCGAAAAAAATAATCATCATGTAAACACAACTAATTTTTACCGTGATGAGGGACAAAGACAATATATAAGACTTTCATGCCATATATTTTTTCACGATGAATACAACATGCATCTAATAATAACCGTCTCAATTTTTCGACATCAGGATCAGGCATAAGTATAACGTATACCTCTTTCATCATTTGTCGATAAAAATAATCATCTTGAAAATATATTTTTCAATTATGAATACAACATGCATCTAATAAAAACTGACTCAATTTTTCGATATCAGGATGAGGCATAAGAAGATCGTATATCTCTTTCATCATTTGTCAAAAAAAATAATCATCATGTAAATACAACCAAGTTTTATCGAGATGAGGGACGAAGGCAAATATAAAGGACTTTCATCCCCTATATTTTTTCACGATGAATACAACATGCATCTAATAATAATTGTCTTAATTTTTCGACATCACGATGAGGCATAAGAATATCGTATACCTCTTTCATCATTTGTCGAAAAAAATAATCATCATGTAAATACAACCAAGTTTTACCGATATAAGGGACAAAGGCAATATATAGGGCTTTCATGACCTATATTTTTTCACGATGAATACAAGACGCATCTAATAATAACCGTCTCAATTTTTCGACATCAGAATGAGGCATAAGAAGATCTTATCCCTTTTTCATCATTTGTCAAAAAAATAATCGTGTAAATACAACCAATCTTTACCAAGATTAGGGACAAAGGCAAATATATAGGACTTTCATTCACTATATTTTTTCACAATGAATACAACATGCGTCTAATAATAACCATCTGAATTTTTCGACATCAGGATCATGCATAAGAATATCGTATACATCTTTCATCATATGCCGTAAAAAATAATCATCATGTAAACACAACCAATTTTTATCGAGATGAGTGACAAAGGCAAATATATTAGACTCTCATCCATATATTTTTTCATGATGAATACAACATGCATATAATAAAAACTGACTCAATTTTTGACATCAGGATGAGGCATAAGAAGATCGTATACCTCTTTCATCATTTGTCGAAAAAAATAATCATCATGTAAATACAATCAAGTTTTACCGAGATGAGGGACAAAGGCAAATATATAAAACTTTCATGCCCTATATTTTTTCACGATGAATACAACATTCATCTAATAATAACCGTCTAAATTTTTTCACTTTAGAATCAGGCATAAGTAGATCGTATACCTCTTTTATCATTTGTCGACAAAAATATTCATCTTAAGAATATAACAAATTTTTAACGAGATGAGAGACAAAGACAAATATATAGAACATTCATGCCCTATATTTTTCACTACGAATACAAGATGCATTTAATAATAATCGTCTCAATTTTTTGACATCAGGATCAGGCATAAGAAGATCGTATACCTCTTTCAGCATTTGTCGAAAAAAATAATCATCTTAAAAATATAACTAATTTTTACCGAGATGAGGGACAAAGGCAAATATATTGGACTTTCATGCCTTATATTTTTTCGCCACGAATACAAGATGCATTTAATACTATCGTCTCAATTTTTCGAGATTAGGATCAAGCATAGGCATAAGAAGATCGTATACCTCTTTCAGAATTTTTCGAAAAAAAATAGTCATCATGTAAACACAACAAATTTTTACCGAGATGAGGGACAAAGAAAAATATATAGGACTATCATGCCCTATATTTTTTCACGATGAATACAACATGCATCTAATAATAACCGTCTCAATTTTTTGACATCAGGATCAGACATAAGAAATTCGTATACTTCTTTCATCATTTGTCGAAAAAATAATCATCATGAAATGCCCTATATTTTTCACGATGAATACAACATGCATCTAATAATAATTGTCTCAATTTTTCGACATCAAAACCAGGCATAAGAAGACCGTATACCTCTTTTATCATTTGTCAAAAAAAATAATCATCATTTAAATATAACCAAGTTTTACCGAGATTACAGACAAAGGCAATATGTAGGACTTTTATGACCTATATTTTTTCACGATGAATACAACATGCATCTAATAATAATCGTCTCAATTTTTCCACATCAGGATGAGACATAAGAAGATCGTATACCTCTTTCATCAGTTGTAGAAAAAAAATAATCATCATGTAAACACAACCAATTTTTACCGAGATACGGGACAAAGGCAAGGTATAGGACTTTCATGCTCTATATTTTTTCATGATGAATACAACATGCATCTAATAATAATCGTCTCAATTTTTCCACATCAGGATGAGACATAAGAAGATCGTATACCTCTTTCATCAGTTGTAGAAAAAAAATAATCATCATGTAAACACAACCAATTTTTACCGAGATACGGGACAAAGGCAAGGTGTCATTAGATGATAAACCCTAAACTTTAAAGCCGCAAAAATGTCTAAATATTTTAATAAAGAATTGGAAATATTTTACCTAATATTTTACTTCACTTTTAGAACAAAAATATAATTTGTATTTATCTATTTATTTATAAATTAATACAGTGTTCGTTATTGCCTTTTTAGATGAGTTTTTATTTAATCTATTTTAAAATATTTTATGCAGTCACTATAAATAAGATAAAATACTATTGAATATCATATTGGGAACCTATAAATAATATATTAATTTATCTAAATATTAATTCTATATTTTTTTTAATTGATGTGTGTTTGATAGTAGATTTAAAGATGAGAGGAATTCATATATATATATATATATAAAACAATGATTTACCGAAATCTAGGTAGCTTATTATCAAGAAATGAGGGGAATCCGCAAACATGAAAAAGCTTTACAAAATGCTACTTACAGAAGAAATGTAGTAGCAATATTACTTTTTACATGATTAAACACCTAAAGAAAATGGTAGGTCCAGATTCTTTTGACAAATATTCATGGGTCTATTTGTAGCAAAAATAAATAGACAATTGATGAAGTCCAGTGCTCTTGAAAGCTTCAGCTATTAAGTGAATGCACTGTAATAGTTTTATATCTTTGAGATGAGATGTCACAGGCCCCTCGTGCAAGTTTTATTTGGGCAGCACCCTTTACTTGATGAAATTTAATTTAATTATGAATAATTGGACATGTTAATGGATTTACATCTCTAAAGCAACAGAAGTTACAGATAATGTTAACATCAATAATCAGTATGAACTGACCTGGCCATATACTTGGCCTTCTCAGCTTCCTCCCATGCTACTGCACGTGCTTCAATGACACTCTTAGGTGGTTCTGCTTTTGTTTTCAAGGAAGTGGATGCATCCTTATCCTCCTCTTCTTTGCT